CACTCAGAGTGGCTTCAGCAAAACTGACCGGGAAGGCAGCAGGGGTAGTGTCAAGAGATGAGCTGGACAGAGTGCCAGAGCCCAAGCCACAGATAGACATTTATCCTGTGGGCTTTGAGGAACGCTGTGACGTTTCACCCAGAGGAGTGACAGGCTCAGAGCTGCACTTTGATAAGATTTACACTGCCTAGACCAAGCGGATGATGGGTCACGGTGGCCGAACATTGAAAAGCTACTTCGGGGGGCTGCAGCATCAGGTGGGTCCACTGGGTACTTCCCATCTCTGTCCTCCTCCAGTCTCTTCCCCTGTCCCCTGCTTCAGCCAAAGAAGCTCTGCCTTTGAGTACTTTTTATAATTTCACTTCATTTTTTATTGTTGTGTAGGGGAGTACATGGTGGGACTTACAAAAGTTCTTACAATATATCAGACATATCATACTTGAATTCAGTCTTAGAGTGACACAGAGACATCTGTGTATTGATTCATTCCATCACCACTCAAAGAAGGCTCTAGAAACAGAGCTGCTTTGAGAAATATTTACACTGACTTTGGTGTCTGTTCTCGTCCTGTGGTGCCAGATGCTTACTCTGAAAGTTGTTTTGACAGTAGTTGGTGGAGGTATCTCCCTCACTCAATTTTAAACAAAACATTTCAACAGCAAGTTGAGTAAATACAGCCAATTAGACAAGTAGAAAAGAATTTTGAACATATGCTCTGAAAATGCGAAGGAAGGGCCTACCCACTAACATTTATTCAGGCTGACAGTTTAGTGCTAAAAACTCGGAATTTGTCTTCTAAAAGTCATCAGGTGCTCACTTCTGGTGCTAGAGGAGATGAGAGAACAGGTAGTCCGCGCGCAGAGATGGAAGTGACCGTCTGCAAGGCACTCAACCAGCGAGAGCCAACCTCAGAGAAGAAGTGCTAAGTGGCACCGGCAATCACAAAGGCCTTTATGAAGTGGCCAAGATGAGTGGGTACTTGTTACATGTCATCCCACTGTGACATCATTGTCCTTTCACTTGTGTTGTACAAATAAGAAACAGACCCCAAGAAGCAAACCACCTGCTTCCAAGGCCTCTGCGCTGGTCAGCTTGGCTGCCACACAAACACCATGAACAGGGTGGCATATCGTTTATAGTGCTGCAGGCTGGAACTCCCATGCCAGGGGAATGGCACAGCCAGGTTCTGGTTCTGGTGACAACTCTCCCCAGCTTGTAGACAACAATGTTCTTGCTTGTGTCTTCAGGGTATCTGTCTCTCTCTCTCTCCTGCCCCCACCCCAACTCTCCTCCTCCTTCCCCCTTCCTCCTCTTCCTTCTTCTTTGAAAGCCACAGCCCTTTCAGATCAGGGTCCCCATATCACTTCATTCGCCGTAATTACCTCCATAAGCCTCTGTCTCCCTGGAAGTAGGGGTTGACATAGGAACGTGAGTGAGGACATGCTTGGGTCTATAGTCTTATTGCTGGCAAGAGGCAGAGCTGGGATCTGAAGCCAGAGCACAGACTCCAAGCCAGAGTGGGGAAAAACCTCTTCCCTCCCTCTCCCTCCCTCCCCTCCCAGGGCTCCCTGTAACAGTGTGCTGCCTTTGCTCCGGAAGGGGATTTTTCTTTCCCTTTTCCTTCCCCAGATGTCTTAAGCCAGGGAGGGCAAAATAGCTTCACTTTAGAACAGTCGAAAGTACTGCACTTGACCACTCACGCCGGGTTATCACAGGCTTGGGAGCACAAGTCATTCATTCTTCAGATGCAAAACTGTCATGAGAACTAATCAGTGCCAGCCGTCACCTGGGCCAGTTACTGAGCGTGTCAGCAGAGAAGAATAACGAGAAGGCGGGAGTCACACATCATCCCAAGGGCATAGTAATTCGCTGACATACGATTAATGCAAAGCCATGGTGTCCTCACCAGCCCAACAAGCAGCTCCACACCGAGGACTCACCCAGCAAGGGCCACAGAGACAGCAAAGAGAAGCCAGTGGAGAGGACTGGCCAGGCAAGAAGGGGTTACGAGTGTTACCCAGTGTAACAGCCTGAGTTCAAGTCTCACCTCTTCCACTTATGAGTGGTGTAACTCAGTTGCTCATCTTTGAAATGGGGATGGTAGAACAATAGGAGGAAATGAGCACAGCTGATAGGAATAAAGAAGTTAAGTAGGTGACATCGTACCCAGTGAATGTGGGAGACCATCTCCCTTTAAGACTGATGGGCTGAGTTTGGACCAATCCAGTTGGAGCAGGCAGTTAAGATGATGTTCAGAGCCAGCTCTGTCCCCGAGAAGAGGGTGGAGCTGTCATGGGGGACTCCCACACAGGACAGAATGGGTGAAAAGTGAGACCCAGCACCAGGCAGGAGCAGATTCCACGTGAATTTTTCTGGAGGTGCCCTTTTCTCCTCATGAGACTCTGGAGGCCCCCTCTCCTGCCCCTCCCCCATGGTCTTAGGAAGGGACCCTGTCCCAAGTCAGGCCAGCTTCGACTGCAGCCTCTGCTGAGGCTGCTCAGTGAGTACCAGGGGCTGCAGGAGTCGAGGCTCTGAAAATAAAGCTAATACAGGGGAGGCAGAGAGACCACAGATAGCTCTGCTGCTCCACTTCTTAATGACAGAGCCAAGAAATCCCCGTGTGTGCTTAGGCAAATGTAAGCCTCTCTCCCTATCACTCAGTCAGCACTGACTGTACGGTGTGCGGAGGACTCAGAGCTGATCAGGGGACCGGTGCCCCCTCCTTTTAACCTGTGACTTGAAGGGTCATTGTCTATTTTTTCATGGATCTGTTCATGTGTCCTTCTATCACTTGCCTGCCATACCATGTGTGTATTTATCATGCCTTTACCTCTCGCCCATGGGTCGTCATACACATTCATGTGCATGTATACAGGGCCTCTTTCAGTGAGTGGTATTATCATTTACAGAAAATGTACTTTCATACATTTATAAACACCTGCAATAAACAGTTAATGATGTCCATTAACAAGTGAGGAAATTGAAGCCCAGAGATTTTGGGAGGCGACTCAAAATCAAGCCATGGGTTTGCTCCTTTCTTGCTTATGATGGGAATTTCATGTCACTAGAGGCAACATTTACAGAGAAATTTCTTCTTTACCCAGCGCCTCTGTGGAAGGCCACTGTCGCTAATCTGTGGGCATCTTAGAGTCCATGAACTCTCCTTTGTAACACAATGGACAAGTCAACTATGCATCTGATCCCCTGGGTCCACTCCCAGGGGTCTCTCCTGAAAGATATTAGGCTCAAGAAAGATCACCTCCTCAGAAGTGATGCTGACAAAAATAATCAGAGACCGCCCGCCCTGAGTAACCCAGATGACAGGGTGAGGCTAAGATAGCTCATGCGCTTCTTCCCCGTGGAACATTACCTAGCTGTTAAAAATGACTTTCAAAGACTTTGCAGTAAAGAAATAGTGCCCCCTAGTAGATTTTTCAATCTCTTTAATGAATGTCATTGGAATTTTGATGGGAATTGCATTAAACATGTAGATTACTTTGGGGAGTATCGACATTTTTACTATGTTGATTCTACCAATCCATGAGCATGGGAGATCTCTCCACTTTCTATAGTCTTCCTCAATCTCTTTCTTCAGAAGTGTATAGTTTTCCTTGTAGAGGTCTTTCACATCTTTTGTTAGGTTTACACCTACCAGACCATTAATTTGAAAGAATTAAACAAAAAGTTGCTTTGCTAATATGTGTATTTCATATCCATGAAATAGACAGTCACACGTCATTGCTACAAGAGAACAGAAAGAATTGCATGCCTAAAAAGTCATAGGAGCGTGATGGGATTCTGTGATTATTGCTTTTTTATATTTTATCCTCTGCATTTTGTAAGGAATGTATGCTGCTTTTCTGTTCAGAAATTTATTATTAAAAAGAGTTCTCTTACCCAGCAATCAAAACGAAGTTTGCACCCCCCGCCAAATGGTGGAGGTGTTGGATCACTGCCTGGACACATGAAGAAAGACCTATTGGTACTCAGATTCTGCAGTACCACATCTGGCTTGGGTTTTCCCCATGGAAATGCCAAAGTCTGGGGCATGTGCCTTGCATACTTTGATTTTCCCTTTCCTTCTTCTTCTCCTCTCACCCAAGGCTCAATGTGCTCTTGGGTGTGACCAATTGACACCATTGGTGGCAGTAAGAAGCAAGGGGGGAGGGAGCACAGGAGACATCCCCATGAAGGTCTCCTTGCAGCTCAGAAGGCCCACAAGTCAGCGGGCCTCACTCCTCTCACCAAATCATGCTCAGGAAGCCCCTTTGTTGGATGCTATGTCAAACTCCAAAAGCAGAGCTCCAAGAAACCACCCTGCTGTCGGGAAGCAGGCATTGCCAGAAAGGCCAAGTAAATCAATAGTCGGGGTGCACGGTGGTAAAGGCTGCTAGGTCAACACAGGGCAAGGCAGAAACTACGAGGGGGAGGCCCTGGCCTGAGGGCTTCCTCAGCTGGGCCCCAGGAATGTACAGGTATGGCTAGGGGACAATGGAGGACAGAGGCCATGACTATTTCAGGAAAAAGAGACATCAGGAGCAGGGAACCATCAGAAGGGTGGCATTTCTAGAATGCAAATTTAAAATGGAAATAATAACCAGGGATGGGGTGCAGAGAAAGTTCCAGAACATGGGTCATGATGGGCCTTGTGGGCCAGACTCAGAACCTGGAATTTAGCACCTCCATGCTGGCCACCTCTCTTCCTTCTTGCCCTCAACATGATGGGTGCAACTTTCTAAAACGCTGGACGGTCCTGAGAAGGCTCTAGGCATTCTCAGGTAACATGCGACATATTTTCCACACACACAAAACCACCTCCTCTAAATCTGTTTTCAGCTCTGATTCATCAGGTAAGAGAACAGAATTAAAATTAAAGTGAGGTGCACGCTTGAAGGTCTCATCAGAAAAGGTAAGCTACAAGATCCCCGAGGGCGCACGAACGCAGACATAACTCCCATCCCTGGAACACAGGGGTCACTCCGTGGAGCCCGGCCACTCACCACAGGTTGACCAGGAACGGGTGCTCCAGCCCCTGCATGATCTGCAGCTCCCGGAATACGTTCCGCACCTCGTCCCTCTCGATGCACTTCTGCTTGCTCATGTATTTCATGGCGTACATCTTCTTCGTGTCTCGCTTCTGCACGATGCATACCTGAGCAACAGACAGAGGGGACAGTGTTCAGGCAACATTTGAAGAAAAAGAAAAAAAGAAAAGACAACCCTCAATGCATCTCCATGGAAGCCTGGGCTCAAGTCTGCTCTGACAACCTGCTTGCTGGGCAGCTCTGGCTAAGACAAAAGATGGACTCCCATGGGCAGGTGTCAGACCCAGGATATCTGCTCTGTGGGTGGTCCCTAAAGTGGGGAAGAAGGGACAGGAAGAGGGCAAGAGCCAAGAAAGAGTCTAGAAAGCGAGGCTGTCATAAGGAGGGCAGGTAGGGCTGGCGTGCCTGTGCGGTGAGTGGTGACATGAAGGGTTCACAAGGACCTTCCCAACAGTGCGTGAGGCACTGACACAGAGCCACAAGCCAGCAGCTTAGACCGCAGACCTGTGCTATCTCAGCTCTGGAGAGGCATGGGCAGGTGTGCTCCCTCTGCCCCCCTCAGAGGGCCCTCCGGCCTCATCTAATCTATGCTTCTGACTTTGCCTCCCTCATCGTGTGGCCTCTGTACCTGTCTCTGTTCCCAAATTCTCATCTTCTTGTAAGGTCACCAGTCACAGTGTCACAGTGCGTTTAGACCCACTCTGATCCAATACAACCTGTCTTAACTAATTACACCTGCAAAGACCTTATCCTCTGCTCTCCTTGGCTTTAGTTACCTGCAGCCAACTATGGTCTGAAAATATTAAATGGAATTCATAAGTTTTAAATTTTGTGATTTTCCGAGTGGCATAATGAAATTTCACAGTTGCTCTGTCTTCCTCCCCCCAACACATGAATCATCTTTGTCTGGCGTATCCACGCTGTGTGTGCTGCCCACCCGATAGCCTCTCAGCAGCCCTCTTGGTGATGGGAACAACGGGTGCAGAATCACAATGCCGTGGTCATGTGACCCTACTACGAGCCTAATGCCTCCACCAGCACTTCATCCCACATCACCGCGAGGAGATGGGCAAGAACAGTCCGGTAAGGTATCTGTCTTAAGAGAGAGGGCATGAGACCACGTTCGCCGGCTGTCATTACAGTGTATTGTTAGAATTGTTCTGTTATTATTAGTTGCTGTTAATCTCTCGCGGTGTCTGATTTACAAATTAAACTTTATCGTAAGTATGTTGGTATAGGAAAATAATTGTACATATAAGGATCAGTACTACCCAAGGTTTCAGGCGTCCGTTGGGGGTCTGGGCATATGTTCCCCCCACGGATAAGGGGGACTACTCTGTTTCCAAATAAGGTCACTTTCTAAGGTTCTGGGCAAACATGAATTTGGGGGTCACCACTCAACCTGGTATAGCTACTATTTCTATCCCCAGCCATCCTGGTTCACATGGAAAAGGAGTCCCGAGAAGTCAAACGCACTGAGCAGAGACAGGGTGTGGCAGGAAGACAGTCACACAGAGACAGTTTGTGCTCTGGAGCCACTCTGACCAGGGCTTCGATTCCATCTTTGTTGTGTCACCCACCCTCTCTGAGCCTCAGTCTGCTCTTCAGAGCTTCTGCTCTTTACTATGTGAGAACACAGCAAGAACTTGGCAGACTGCCTCCTGAAAGGGTTCTCGCAGAACCCACATACACTGGTGCCCTGGTCTCAGAACTGTGAGAAATACACGCCTGCTGCTTAAGTAAACCAGTGTGTGGCATTTCGTTATAGCAACCCTAATACGCTGAGATGGTGCTCTTATTCAGATGAGGATCTTTGCAGATGTAATTAAGGATCTAACGATGAAGTCATCCTGAATTAGGGATCAAATGACAAGTGTTCTCAGAAGAGAAAAGAAAGGAAGACACAGAGGGAGGAGGCCACATGAGGATGGAGGCAGAGCCTGGTGGTTAACAGCAGGCACTGTGTAGCCCCGGAAGCCCAGGGAGAGCACTGGAGCCTGTGGGAGGAGCCAGTCCTGCCCACACCTGGATTTGGATCTTCTGGAATTGTGAGGCAGTCAGGTTGGAGACCAGTAGAAAGAGCCTGGCAGCACCCGTGGCCCTTGTAGGGGACCAGAACCCAAGGACTGGTGGGGTGATGGGCAGGTTGATGCCTGGAACCAAGCTCCAGCCCCGGTACAGCTCCTCCCGGCACCAAACCCCTGGCCAACCCTGGGCTTGAGGAATCTTCCTGAACTTGACCATCTGTGGCCTTGTAAACACTGGGCAGGTGATTGGGAGGGAAGGTCACCACTGTCACCTGTAGCTGGCTCTGCCCACATCCTGGGGACCTCCAATACAAAATTGAAGGCCAGGTCTCAAGAAGGACCAGTGCTCCTTAGCAGGGCTGCTCAGAGTCCTCGTCCATAGGACATCACAGTTAATGAGGCAAGAACGAGCAACTGGCCAAAGCCGCCCAGGTTGGCAAAGGGCAGCAGTCAATTAACAGTCCTCGTTAGTCTAATTCAATTAGGCTTTGATGCTATCATTAGTCATTCCACGTGCCGGGAAAATAAGTAACCCACCAGCTAGCGCAGACTAGGCCAACACTGGGGACGTCACCCTGACTTCATAACCTGAGCACCGACAGCATCAATCCCATAACAGTCCTGGGACCCCTGAGGGCCCCGGAATTCTGCATTTTTTAAGTGTGTTCTGGGGAAGGCTGATGTGCAGCAGGGTTGAGTATCACTTTCTGGAATCTTCCAGAAAGTTCTTGTCTGGCTCCATCCTCATCACAACCTTTCTGGCCACTGGTCAGCCAACCCAGGTTGGCCATGGAGCCAAGGCAGCCTCATGCTGGGGACCAAGGACCACAAGGGCATCTCACACAGTGAGCCTGGGTGGCCCCTCTCTCCCTTGCCTCCTGGATAGGCTATGACTCCACCTCTGCTCTGTCCACTGGCCTCGGGCTGATGCATCGCTGCACCTCTCACCTGACCTCGCTCAAGTGGCTGTTAGCAAAAGGCAAACACGCTGGATGAGGAAACAGCTACAGGGTGATATCAGAGGATCGAAGCTGTGTGTGCAGGAGCAAGAGTCTAAGAGTCAACTTGAGAAAACAAAACAAAAATCAGGATTAAATGTGGTTGCTAACGAGAGAGGCATGCTGGCTGCCAGTGTTCAAATAGTTAGCTGGCTTTGCCTGCTCAGCCTGCACCACCCCTTCCTCCTTTATGATAGGATGATTTTCTGCACAGAGGCAGTGACATCCCTTATGTGTGCACTTGGAGCCGGGGTGACCACAGTTGTAATCAGGGAGTTGTTAGTTTGCTGGAAGTTTCTAGGGAAGCCAGTATTAATGGGGAGAACTACAGGTCGTTTCACCTGTCTCCCCTGTGCCACTCATTATGTCCCTCTTACCTTGAACAGGGATATAATGTATGCAGTTACAGCAGCGATGTGTGACCATGAGGTCAGAAGACACTCAGAGATGCAGGACCTGCTGTCACAGAGCCACTGCCTTCAGCTTTCATGGAATGGGAGAAAAGTAAATCCCTGTGTGTTTAAGCTTTCTGTCCCTCTCTGTTGAGCCTGTCTCATCTGATACAGAAGCTATCCACTGGCTTGTCACTGCATATAAGTCCCAGAAGGCTTCTGACCAATGGTGGCCTCATTTGGGTGATGTTTCACTGAGTACACATTTACTAAATGTCTATCATGGGTCTGGTGTCATCAAGTCATGAAGATGTCACACTGCCCTAGTGACTCAAGGTTTCACCAGACAATATACAAGAGTGAAAAGTCAAAGTCCCTTGCTGTGGGTCACCAGGCCTGGGTGGCCTAGCTCCAGCTCCCCTCCCTCTCCACACTGGCCTGTGTGCCATCTTGCACCTGTTCTGCTCCTCCCAGGGGTTAATGGACTGGGCCCCACCTTCCAGCCCTGCTCATGGACTACCTGCCCAGGTAACCACCTCTGACCTCACTGCCTGAAGACTAGAGCCTCTTCAGCACCCATCCTCCACCTGCCTGCCCACTGTCCACCCAGTGCCTGTGGCAGGCCTGCTTCCTGGAATCTACCCAGCCTAGTGTGTCTTTGCACAGAGCTGTAATGACCATGACAACAGGGACCTCTCTGTCTTGTTCACCTCACCTGGCACAGAACAGCCACCTGGTTGATATCAGAGGCTGGGTGGATGAAGGAATAAAGAAGTGATTATCACTAAGAAAGAGCCCTATGGGGGAAGGTGGAGCCCAGAGCTGAGGAACCTCAGAAGAGGGTCCCACCAGAAAAGGCATTGTGGACAAGGCTGAGTGCTAACACATCTCAGTTGTCAAAGGCTGAACTCAGAGCACAGAGGTGTGAGGAGGGCGAGGGTGTGTAACCAGGAAGGGAGAGACAAAGCCACTTGTGCAGGCGTTGGCCTGTGCTGGTAGGCTCCTCAACTTGCTCATCTGGGCAGGGGTTAAAAGAGTCCTTACCCAGACAGGCAGCTCAGAATGTTCCGGGGAGAAGTGAGCAAGCTGGTTACCGTCACTGAGAGCGGACCCTCCTGTACATCCAATCTGCAGGCAGCAGCACACGTGCCATGGAGAGGTCTAAAAGTGGCCCAAGAAGGACCCCCAAATCAGGCCATGGTTGTCTGGTGTGGAGGTTAGCTCTGGTCTGGATCGGAGTGTACAGATAGAGGTCACACATGACTCTGGATGTGCCTGTCAGTGGCTTGGGGTGAGATTAATCTTTTGAGGAAGTTGGCTGCCCCTGTACCGTGGGTGGCCTCTTCCAGCCCAAGGAAGACTTGAGTGGAAGGAAAGGCCGAGGAGCAGGGGATGCCTCTGAGCTGAGTGCAGCACCAGTCAGGGGGCTCCAGTCAGACTGTCCATCCTGCAAATCCTGGACTTGCTGGCCTCCATAACTGCACGAGCCAATTCCTTAAGTGACTCTCTCTCTCTCTCTCTCTCTCTCTCTCTCCCCCCTCAACCCTGTCATCTCTGTTTCTCTGGAGAACCTGACTACGCATCTGCTGTGAGCCATCAGGACCAGAATTGGCTCCTGAATTCCACTTCTTACAGGCCTGGGGACCCCTTGAGGCCACCACTGCTGGCGTGTGGCCTTTCTCCACATTCC